CAGACAGACAGACAGACAGACAGACAGACAGACAGACAGACAGACAGACAGACAGGCAGATAGATAGATAGATAGATAGATATAAAGACAGATAGATAGATATAACATATTTACATAGAAAAATGAACAGACCGACAAATAGATAGAAAAATAATATGACTTTTATTCAAATAGATCAATACAAAAAATTAGAAGATGAATGGACCGAAAGATTGGCTGTTAGATAGATACACATAGGTATACCTATATACATACACGAAGAAACATGTGAACAGGTAAATATATGAAGAGATACACTTCTAATGCTAATAAGAAAACACAGTAGGTTGCTTTACAAACGGATAAACAGTCATCAATATCTAATTTCATCGAGAGATTATATAGGCCGCTCAAGCAATACGAGCTCCTTATAGAAGTAATACTAACATTACCACCACCAATATCAATAATATTAACAACAGCAGACTTATCAATAAAGGACAACAAGAAAAGACAGATGTAGATCTACATGTACCAGAAACCACAAGAGATCACCTACTTCCCCTGTAACGCCTGCATGGTGCGTGTGGCAAACACAGTGTTGACCGCCATGCCGCCAAAAGCGATCATGATCTCTTTGATGTGAGTGCCAGTCTCGCCCAGATCCACTCTCATTCCCGCGTTGACAATGGCGATGTCGTCTTCCCGACGGTTGGCTTGTTTATAGCCGAAGCAATACTCGTTCTGAAAAGCGAAATAATATGGTGTCTTTAGCAACAAAATGTTCAAGGGTTTTCTAAAAGAAAAACGGACAGGCTGTTTTTATGTAGCAATAGTAATTGTACAAGAAAGAACATTTTCCCTCAGAATTTTCTATCTTTAAAATGAAACAGCGAGTGGATCTTTCACGTACATTATTGGCGGATACTTGGTATCAGCATTTGCCCCCCCCCCCTCCTCCACGTTTTTTGCCCCCAAATTTTCAGCACGCTCCTGCTCAATATTTATTCTTTCTGGAAGCAATATTCTGCAAAACGGAAAGTTGCACTGTGCCAAAATTGTACGCCAGAAAAATACCACAGCCACGTAAAAGATACAATCCTCTGTGACGAAATATTTTTGTTGAATGTTTGGAACACCAAATTAGTCACAGGAATCACTTATGCTTTGCAGTAAGCTAAGCGTGTTGAGAAGAAAGGAACCGGTGTTTTAAACAAAACAGTGCAACCGCCCCCTATAAATAAATAAATAAATAAATAAAAAAAACACCTAAATAAATAAATAAAAGAATAAATAATCTTACAACCATGTTTGCAGGGCACTCTCATTTAAGGACAAATTTTTGTTAAAAGTTGTTAACACTTTGTTCGTTCATAAGGCTCGCCCACTGCCAGCAGCATGGGTGGTTGGTGGGTGCTCTGGTGTGGTTTACTCCTTCTTTCCTATCAAACAACTATCCCCTTTATCTCTCCTACTTCTTTTTTATGTTTGCTACTCTCTTGTAACACCTATAATCTTCGGCACTTATATGACCTTTTTGTGTTGCAAGTGCCGTAAAACTCTTACTAAAACTAAACCAAACAGCCAGCAGTTAGTTATGTATTATACCTGTGTTGTGAAGGGTAGAGTGATGGACACCAGGATCTCATTCGGCCTGAGTCGTGTCTTTCTGTAGCCGCGGAAGAAATCATCGTCCATTCTCACTGTGCGGTGGCCGTGCTCTGAGAGAGAAATAATTGAATATATACTTACAAAGAGAAGCTGAGGAAATATTATGGCTAAGATTCTATTTCTTTTCTTTGTTCCTCGCCTTTTCCGTCTTCAAAACTTAAACAACAAGAAAAACAACAAGAATAACAACAACAATAAAAACAACAACAACAACAATAATTACAATAACAACAATAACAACAATAACACAACCCCTACAAAATCGACGGCAAAGAGAAAAGGAACACCTATAAATCTCTCAATCAAAACAAAACAAAAAACAAAAAACAAAGCAAACAAAACAAAGAAAGTGCTTACTTCTGGCAGTATGTGTAACCTTACCCCCCCCCCCCAAACAAATAAAGAACAAGAACATTACAAGCAGGAGCAACAATGACAGCCTTACCTTTAGCAGCAAACTCAATCTCTGCATTGCAGGCCATAAGGAGAGGATTCAAATCCGAAATAGGACTGGCATTGATCACATTCCCACCGATGCTCTGAAATAATATGATCGATTCGGGGTAGCCAACTAAGAGGTTAAATCATTTAAAAATTGTCTTTAAAAAAGCGGTAAGTCAACAAAATTAGTGAAGCAAATTTCAAACATTAGAAACCCAGAACCCGCAACAAAACAAAAAGTGAAGATCTAACCGCTTGCCGAGGCCTCTAAAAATAACATAATAGTATCATTATAACTCAATAAATCTACTTACAAACACACCATTGCAAACAACACGAACTCGCATTAAGCTTGTGCCCATGCACAGGCAAACACAGACGCACGTCTTGAACCAACAAACCTTCACCCCCCACTAAAAACACAACAAAACAAACAAAAACAACAAAACAAAACAAAACAAATACAACCCAGGCACACAAACATGAGCAATTTGTTTTACATACATACACATGCCCCC